CGCACTGATGTTGCATATGGCGCAGATGTGTTGTTGGTCATACGAAGTAACATTAAAATATTCGTCCCTCAGCTTATCTGGATTTTTTGTGCTTTATATTTGGTAGTGAACAATCAACGGTATTAAAAATGCCGTCCTCTCTCACATACCACCGGGGGCGGACCGCCCCCCAACCCTCCATGTTACGCCACTTGATTGGGTCCTCAGGTGCGAAACTGTTCAACTCTCCCCCCCATCTTCTGTGAGTTGTATTCTGGTGCTTAGCGTTGGCGGAATTGAATGTCTCTGCAGCACAAGTCACGGTATTCGTCTGATGAATTCTCTCTTACCGTTACGTTCGGTTACAACGATTCCATGATTGAACAGACGCCCTACCATCCAGCGGAACAGCGAACAATGCAGTGGGAATCACCGGGTGAAGGATTTAATCATTAGAAGAAATAACAATTGTCTTCAAACCAACAGGTCTGTATGTCTCAGGAAGTGCTCTACTCTTCCAACGATAATATAGAATGGGTGAAGATTTAATAGTTAATCGTATGATTGAATAAAAACGGCATCAATTTAAATATGGGCACTATGAGAAAAACATTTTCTTAGGGTCCAAAACATTGCATTTAAAAGTACACAATACTTAAAATGTATGACAATACAGGAATGACATCATGTGGCTTTGTGGCTTTGCGGATTGGCCGCAGGAAGATACTCAGCATGTCTTTCTCAAACTTTGGGTACAACAACAACTTGGAACGTAGTGAGTTATTTCACGATACGACCGTCTTCGTCCAGTGAGGTCACTGCCTTTGCAAATCGAGCCCTGTAACCCACCTTCTCTTCAACGGAATTATAGATGGGACTGGAAAAGTTCCACCGTATTTTCCGCTGCATGGGATTGTCTACACTCCCAAGTTTGCTGCAACCACTGTCGTTGTACTCGCGAAGTATTTGCCTAAAATCTCGTACGCATGGGTTTGGCTCGAACCCTGCAGAGTGCAAAAAACGATTGCTGTACGTATAGGTCCTATTCGTTTGTGACAACTTATCCGAAAGTTCCTTTCGAGCGATTACGGCTGAATTTAACCTCTGCACACTGTAGTTGTAAACCCCATGTTTTGCACATGACGTAGCACGATACAATGTTGGTTGCATCCCGGTGGATGTCTTTCGTGCTGCTGAAGTTTTAGTGCCTTTCCGACCTACGCAACTGACCCAAGGGCCTCTTGTTTGTGCTGGTCTTGTCACAGCAGACTGCACCAATTCAGTAGTCGGGCTTCTAAGTAATGATGGCAGTTGAGATTGACTCTCCTGCAGTTTCCTAGACGCAGAGCTCACTCTGGATAAATGTTCTTTCAAGAGGGGAGGTGCAGAGAACTCTCTGATCAAGGCGTCAAGCATCATACTTGTAGGTAGCAGGTTGGCGCGAGTGACATCCTTTAAGCTGCGATACATTGTACGCAAGGTATGAAGTTTAGTCACTGCACAATAGGCCAGTCGAGGAAGAAGGTCACGGACGTGAAAAAGAGGCTGTTGGATCAAACGTGAAATCGGAACAAGGACATGGATCTCCGGAAAACCCCAGTGTTGACTCCAGTAGAGACGTCCAGTAAACCGTACGCCGCTGTTTCGTATAAACTTAATATTCAGATGGTCAGCAGAAGTAGAAAGTAGGCTTTGTATCCCAAAGGTGAAAAGATGCATTGCGTTCTCCTCAGACGGTAACTCCAACACCAGTATGTGAAAAGTGGGATCGCTAAGGTGGAATCCGGTGATAAGGTTTTCCGCAGAACTCCGCGATTCCTCCCCGCCTTCAGTGAGTGACTCATACCCACTAAAGGCGTTGAGACAAAACGGCCGTTTTGACCTCTTCAACCCGAGGTACATCTGGAGCGTTTCTATGGCGCGGTCGTCTTGAATATTCATGCACCGTGCGTTGTGTTGCAGGACCAATAGCTTCATGTCATCGATGCATTTGGTTGCTGGGTTTTCTAAAAAATGAAAGGAAGTTGCTAAACTAACATAGGGAGATGATTGTACTGGATCACTCACGTAACGGTTGTGGATAGCCGTCAGCACCTTTGGAACTGTGATCAGTATATTTTGATCCAAAAGTTGTCCTGATTATGATTTTTATTCCTTAGTCTACTGACTCACTGCAGATCGGAAAGCAGCACAAATTCCTAAACTGAGTCAAGAATTTGTAGGTTGTCGATCACCACACATCCTGATCTCATGGCGTGAGAATTGTCCTTTGTTTCGAGTGACGTATCGTAACAAACTCGGTTCTGTTAGGTTCGGCTCGTCGCTTGACTTCCATGCAGCTGAATCAGTGCTGCAACCGCGCAGAGTAACAACACCTACTTACTCCGATTCCCGCAGAGCTACACAAGTTGTCTTTTTCCAGGGTATGGACGGTCTCGGTATGCTCAATTGGCTCTACGCGAACCACTCTTCCCAACAAGCTTTACTATGTTTGATATTAAGTATAAGAGTTCAGACAAGAAATGAACATCCAAAGGCTGATTCATGACAGAAAATGAAAGGGACTCGTCCTGAAATACCATTCGGAGTTGAAAGTGGACAACTTCATCTATAACTGAAAACCTACATTGATCGATAGCGATACGTGCATCACGTTTGATCAACAAGCTGATGATTCATTGACCACCTGCTTGAAGTTAAACAGAGAGCTACAATCTTAGTGCTCCATGGCGTTTTTACCAAGAGACTGGATGGGAATCAAGCAAATAAGGTCAGTCGATTTGGTAAGATGAATCCCGGTTACCCTGTTTTCGTTACTCGTACAGGAACTCGGAGGGTCAAAAATTCGGACTGCGAACTGGTTTTGTATTCACATGCTCATCAAATTGCGTTCCAGCTTGAAACCTAAATACTACACAGCTTCCACTAGTGTATTCAGCACTGCGGGACCTCATTGTATGCGCACAGACACCTGGCCGCCACTCTAAAAATAATCGCATGATTAAACCCAAGTAGCAAATACAAATATCCTACCAATGAGGGGAAGCAATGTGGAATACTACTAGTATAACTAACGCTACTTTGGATAGAACAGGCTCATAATACCCCCTAAGCCGCAATGTAAGAATCTTTTCGAACTTACTTGTAGTACTGAGTTATCGGTACGGGTGTTAGATATCTTCCAATAATCATGATGTCAAAAGATCGTCACAAAGGATGTAGCTTCCTCCGAGCTACTGTGGTTGACACGATAATATTATCGTATATTTCTGGACAACTCGAGATAGACATCATTGTCACCGCGCATCCGTTTTTGGTAATGTTAGTGAGTCCGTGTTCGTCTAGTTCACAGGGTTTGGGCTAAAGTGAGACGATCCCCTTAGTTGATTAGTTGATGCTGCTTATCATTTTGCGGAAAGTGGTTTTGGGACAACTTGAACCTTAAACTGTGCGTCTGGAGCACTAGAATCATTAGTTGCAATGCATGATGGACGCTTAAGTTGAATGGTGTATTTTGGGCGTAGCCGGTCTAAAGATCTACACGTTGGACATGATGCATATTAGGGGACTTAGCAGCGATGTGCTCTCACCTACTATGCAAATGAACCGCTCAAGCGTGCCATCAGTCGCGATGGGCGTTGCCATGGCTATGGGTGGCGCTTGCAGGTCGTAGTTCAGTTCAACTCGGATCGACAGACTACAATCTGCATCCACATAGCCCACGTATTGTCTGCTTGCTGTTCTGGGATTCTCTGTCGCTGTTCTCAACGTAGTTTGCAGATCAAATGCCGTTTCATCTATGGGCAAAACCGGGTAGTCCCTTTCCAAAAGGACTAAGCGTAAATTTAGCATCTCGTCCAAGTGCACAGTCACTCGCCCAAACGGGTGCTCATCTGGTGTGAACGAGTCAGAAGGTATGGCAGTCCTAGCCCGATCAGGCATCACTTCCAGTGTGGGCTTGATTGTGGCCAAGTCTGAATCCTCTGGTTCCGCACCGAACAAAGCACCGGCGGATTCTGTGACAGATTTTTGCTTCCCCATGGTTTTGCGTGGAATGCGATCGTACAGATCGAATGTGAGTGGTGTACTGAGCATCATTTCGGTGATCTGTTCTGGCGGATGTAACCCAGTGAGTACAACCTGTGTGAAAGAAGAGTTTCAGATATGTAACATATGCTTGACCCCATGCGCTGCACATTGTACAGAACAGAGTAATTCATCCAGAGAAAAAGTGGCTAATGATGTTTAGAGACAAATTTACCAGTAAAGTCATTGCATTGCCTGAATGTCTAAAGTTGGCAAACTCCACGACGTTCAAATAACCGTCAGGGACTTTACCTGATGTGCAGTAGCTACCCAGCTGTCTAGTCACAATGAGCTGTATTAAACTTGACCCGTAATTGGTTGCGATGATGAACTTCGTACACCGAACGCCGTTTTGTTTTTCTTTGGGTTGAGCACGCGATCGCGCTCGTAAGGCCTGCTATTTATCTTTCGCTTGGTTCCTAACACCTGCAGTGGCGCAATGATTTCCTGATAGAAAACCACCTGGCGCTGATGAGAAAAGGATTCCTATGCGCAGTGCACTTTTGTTGTACGCTATACACCAAGCAAGCAGTTGTGTAATTACAATTACTGGCAATTTTATCTATGTTTTTCCAAGAAATTCTTTTACATAGTTTTATATTGAATAATGTGACTTAAAGAATAGATGAGGATACAGTTAAATAAACATTGTTTCCAAGATACATGTTTGATGAAGCTGAAAGCAGTGAACACGATGATGAGGATAGGACTTTCAAGGAGAGCAATCATACACTGAATCGGAAATGAACATTAGCGGATTGATACATTTTGATGCACAATGGATACATCAGAATGACCCTCAATATTAATCATTAACCGTTGTGCCAAGCATTGCCCGTGGTGACCTGGTGGTTTAGGGGTAGCGGTCACAAGTAACATCATAATGGTCCCGGGTTTCGGGGAGATGAATTAATATCGAAATGCGTCATAGGAGTGCGGTGTTTTCGGGTGGGCAACACCTAATTTCCATGCTTCCTTTTGCATAATTATATTTTGGGTAATATAACGCGGAGAACAGACGAGGATGCAGTTAGATAAACGTTGTTGTCAGGATAAATGTCTGCTGAAGTTGGAAGCAGGGAATACCGTGCTGAAGATAGGACTGTCAACGAAAGTGATCACACTGGATCGGAATTTGAGATCAGCTGCTTGATACATTCTGGTGTAGAACCTGTGAGCAGTGACGATTACGATTACATTAGCAAAGACTAGGCAACTAGGTAGTCAGAAATTCTTTGTATCAACAGATTTGCGAAATCTTCCAGCCAACATTTTGTTATAGGTTTTCCTGGTCCATTATACAATGCCAGACTCATTCAAGACCAAGCTCAGGCCTTTCAGATGCTAACTTCAGATGAACTGATTGGGAAGGTTCCTCGGTGCACCAGTATACATATTAAGTGTGTGGTCATACTGCAAGAAAGATGGGAAAACTGTTACAAAAACTAAACTGGTGATGTACTTTTTTAGCACATCAGCATTACACTTTTGTGCGCTGTTCCGTGTAACATGCCTATTAGTTTTGAAAATGAATTACCAAATAGGCGTCTGTTCTTTAAGAACATCGCCATTAAGTTGAGGAAGTCATATCTGGAAGGAGAGAATTATTACAAAAGATTCCTGTTGAGATCGAAACTTTCTTGGCGATATACAAGCCGCAAACAGAACAACTGGTTTCAGCCCATTCTCTTGCCATCAAAATACGCATTAAGTGCCAGTTGTTCACCATGGCTACAAATAAAGTGACAACGCGAACATCTTCTGAGTGCTATGGGTTTGTTTTCAAAAAACGCTCAATACGTGATGTGTGAGGCGACTCATGTGCATGTCCTGTAACGGCCGAACTTAGCAGAGTAGACCAGGTTTTTCCATACTTCTCTAATCCGAATCTAGGAAAACACAAGGTTTTGTAAATGGCCAATAATTGTAAACTTGTAACACAAAAAACTAAGAACTTAACTTGAATGAAATCCTGTTATTTGAACGCTGTTTGAACGCTGTTATTTGAACGTCTGCCATCAGAGGGGAAACGTCAGCAACGTTGGTTCCTAACCGCATGCCTGATGCCTTCTAATACCTTCACTTGACCAATTGTGGTAAATTTCTTAGTGCAGAAAATGCTCCACGCTAGTAGCTAGGTTTTGGGAAGGCATGCGAGTCTTCTAGGGCCAAGCGAAATCCTGTACAGCTTCTGGACTCAAAAATGAGATAACCTTAACAAAGCAACACCTCATGAATGCTGGTCTAGGAGGTGATGTGAGTGATAGGCAGACCAGATTCATTAATTGATACAGTGGGAATCACATTTGCTTGTCGATACCGTATAGTACGGTGTACAAGGGGACTGTGTATGTGTAAGGTACTGATTTCGTACCATCAGTGAGCTAGTGGTATAATGAACCATAGCGTATGCAGATCGGCCCCAGGTCACAGCTTAGGCGTGCATAACGAAAATCGAGATCAAACGGTACTTATTTATTTAGGTAACTATTCCCACACAAGGAACAGGCCACATCGCACGTGTTGCTTTTCCGGCATGTGGAAAGCCAGTCTGGCTCCTCGTTAGTTGAAAATTTACGCTGCTTTACATGGATAACAACGCGACGGGATTGTATAGGGTCTTTTGGATGCACCGTAAATCCACTTTGAGCTAAATGCGTCCGGTTACCCACCAAACAACTGAATCTATCTATGCTTTAAGGACATCTTGTCATTAAAAATTATCTCGGACACTTTGATGTCATCAAGTCATCCAGCATAGCAAGTGGGAACAAACAATGTCCGCTGGAATGACTGTTTGATCAATTTTTGTACCCTTGGCCGTCCCATTCAGACATATTTGGTATGCATTTCGGTCACATACGAACTTGTTTTTCCAACACACGCTTACCATATACGGTAAATGCATTTATTCTTGTCACAAATAAAGTCCACATTAAGCAGAAATCGATTCCCAAATTGTAATTACGCAACACTACAGCCGTTAGGTTAAACCAACAATATTTTTGAGTGACCGAAATTCATCATAAATGTGTCCAGTTGGGACGGCCAGGTATATAAAAATGCTAACTCAGGGCGCTCAAACGGTCACTCGCGCTGACAGTAATTACGCTACTTCTATAAAATTCTTTTGGGAAGAATACGGCATTGCCTTCACAGTTTGGCTCAAATCTGGTGTGAACATCGTGTGAGCATTGAGCGTGTAAGACGCCTTGCTTATGGCGCAGGAAGAAGAAGCGAACCGCTCAGCACCGTCATTTCGCGCAGCAGGCTCCCATGGTTGGGACATGTGTTGCGCATGCCAGCCCACCGAATCGGGCGACGTGCACTGTTTGCTCCCTGGGGGTGTGGATGAAAGATGTGGCCAAGCGATGATTTGGTTAAGAGGAATGAAGGTACCTACTTCGAAGTTGGACTCGGTTGGAGGCGCTCGGCTCCCTGGTTGGGGACAGAAAGACGATGAACATCTCTGGCTGGATACGCTTGTTGACATGGCTAGGAGCCGACCTCAGTGGTGTTCGTGTTGTGAGTTTCTTTGTCCCTCTTCCTCCCACTAAGCCTCCCCTCCACCTACGATCTCATTTATCAGGCGTAATAAAACTACTTTGTTGCGGCACACTAGCCTGCTGTTACCTCTCCAGAAAGATCTCCGTTCGTTGCTGGTAACTCAGCCGGCGTGCCTCTGTTTCATATTTTCTCTTTTCTTTTGTACTGCAGCACAATAGCTGAGTTATTTTCCACCTGAGGCTAAGATGTATAAGAAGGATGTTGCTTTAACAACATATCTTCACATACCTCGTCAATTATTCTCATAGTTTTCGCCTCTGCGCATGACTAAAAATGCACAAACGAGACGGCTAACCTTCTTAACAAGCTTTTGAACTGGTCAGTTCAGAACGCCTTACCGTTCAACGTAGACGAATGTCGTATGGTGCAATTACGCCATAGACATGAATACACGTATTTGTTTGAGGCATACGCATTGCAGACTAGCTCCCAGGATCGTGACCATGGTGCTCTCGTACACCGTGACCTCAACCGTTCAAAACACGCTGAGGTAGCTGCGAACAAAGGCAACCAGCACGTCGGCCTACTGCGAAAGGCATTCGGGAGATTTGACCCATCAATCTTCCCAATGACGCACAATTTCTACCTGCACTTTCACGTTGAATTTGCTATTCATGATTGGCAACCTTGGTTGAAGCGTGTCCTAGAAGCATTAGAGGTATCACAAAAAGGTGCAACAAGAAATGTAAAGGCCCGCACAATCACTCTCATCACCGAAGGCTGAAGTTGATGGGTTTTCAGCAGACGCTACCGAAAGCTGTGCGGCCATCTCAATCTAGCGTACCAAATATTGATTGACATCAACCAAGTGTGCCGCAATTTGCTTAAACAGCCGCAACACACAGCTCAGGGGTAACTACTTGAAATTGAGCGAACAATATAGTCGCCTAGAGTGTCAACGGAATCAGTTTTCCTTCCGTGTTTGCCAAACCTGGAACTCTCTCCCAGACTCAGTTGTATCCTCCCCTACTTTGCACATTTTCAAAAAATGATTAGATGCTGTTCTTAGCTCCCAACACTTCGTTACTTAAACTGCGCCGTTATGGATTACGTTAATCATGCCGCGCTACCAGATTTATGTGTCATATGAACCCAAAGAGGCGGCGCATAAGTGAGCCACCATAATGTACTTTTCTCACGCTTTACATCAACGATCACTGCACCCGTATATTTCTGTAAGTTTACACAAATATTTAGTTTACCGTAACGTTATGTATCAACGCGTATATCTCGGTAGACCCTTGGTAGATAAATTACCAATAGTTCAACTTGATTGTTTTCACCCCAACCATCCTATGGGAAGTGTCAACACTTGCTTTTATCCCGTGATAAATCAGTGTCCATTGTTTATTGTTCATTGTTCATCGTTCATCTGTGCGGACAGGCATGGTACCGTCGATCAAGGAAAACAAAAGTTTGACCGGTTTTTGGCTGTCAATGGGATGATCATAGTTAACGGAAGAGCAGAAGGTCCAGACCTATGTAATGGGTCGTTCTGATTTCGGATGACATTACTTAGTCTCAATCGTCGTGCTGAAACAGGGTTCCTTGTGGTAACGACCAATTTGGTGATGGACTTCAGGCTCTAGACGCATTCTATACGAAACGTTCACCTTTTAATCTGTATTAAGGTTGTAAAAGCGAACTGGTATGGTACTATTGTTTAACCGACAATGTGAGGCCATCATCAAAGGATGCTTATTTCAAGTTGCCCCGATGAGGACACAATATTTCACGCTTGCTCTGCCGTAACGGGTCTACCGGGCAGTGAGGTCACAAGAGTGGTGCATTTAGAGCAGGGTGCATTTGTCGCAAATTTATGTGAGGATGAGAATGATCTAGGCACTGTTTGTGTCTGCAAAGCACTTTTCATTTGCCAGCTTGAGCAAGCCCAGCAAGGGGAGTGTTACACCCCTCAGTCAACACGGTCACCACTTAGCTCGATGGTAGGCTAGAAATAGCAAAACTTTCAATTGATTGCATTCCTAGTGCAGCGGCTTGCATTCTTCACGCAAAATCTAAAATCTAAATCACGCAAGCCGATAGTCACGAAAATCGCATCCACGACTCCCTGAGTGATCAACCTCTATCAGCACGGATTTACTCACAAACTAGCACCAAACCCCAAAAGCCTGGGATGTGAAATCAAGCGAAGTCAGCATAGTTTCGGATGAACGCAGACGTGGTAGCGAACATGTTCGGACCATGGGATGACACCCCCTGACTTGAGCAAGCCAGTGGCGTAGCAACGACTTTTGCCGCTCTGGGAGGTGACAAAATTTTCACCCTAACTGTAGGCAGAATAAACGCGTGTACGCAACACAACCGGCTCAGAGTAAAGTGCACATTAGTCTTCCATGAAATGGTTGATCGTTTATGACACTGAGGTAAATGTGGAGAAAGTGATGGCAATAGGACAAGTAAGGAGATCGCTGGGAAGAACATTTGCACAGGTGTTACATATGGCGCAAGACTGTTGTTGGTCATGCAGATATTGAACATTCGACGATACTAAAATTGATGCCCCCGGTCACATGCCGCGCCCCATGTTACTCCTCTGGATCGAGCCCGTCGTGGATAAAGTTAAAACGCTCTCACAAAGACGGCTTGAGTGAGCAAACGAGATGTAGGTTTGAGGCGAGGAGACTGATGAGGCACGGATGGCCAGAGCGAAAAAGGTTGATTTGGTATTCAACATATGTTGAGGGTGAGTCGAATATCGTGGGAAGTTGACAAATGTCAGGTTGGGCCTTACTTACAACACTGCGTTTTGCCGACATGTTCGTACTTAGCTGCATCCGAAAAAACTGAGGATGCTCGTGTACTCATAAGAAGCGACAGCGAAAGCCCCAAACGTACCTATCACATCACTGTAATGTCCCAACCAGTGACAACCCGGCACGCGTGAGCAAATCGCACATTTGAATACGATTCGTCCCTTTGCGGGCACGGTACCTCGGTAGCAAGAGAAATATCCAGTATTCTCATTATAAGCAGTGATAGCAGGGTTGCTACTAGAACTTAGAAAGTTGGGATGCCAACCGTTGGAAGTTCTTCCGAGGAAGAAAATCGGAGTGAAGGGTACAAGTCTTAGCACCATCTAATGAATAAGGCGATTGGTTAGTATATCAGCAACGCAATAGGGCTGTGAAAATGGATGGTAAGGAAGTAGCAAGATAATGGGAAATGCAGTCAATTAGGCTGAATCTGACAGGTGAAATACTGTCTCATGCAACTCGTTCAAAAGAAGGCGCACATTGTTCCCAACCACCGCTTTCCATGCCAGGCTTCATCATTGCTTGAAATCTCCGGTGGAAAGCCAAAGTCGGGTCTCCAATCACAGGCGATAAGATCATCGACAAGTGCCCTCATCAATACACGTCTAGGAGCAATTACTTCGGCCAAAGCCACAGTCCAAACTCCGGCTCCATCTACCTGAACAGCCACAAGAAGTACCAACTCGGGAGCTTGATGTGATTTAAGGTACAATGAACAATGAACAATGATTTAGCACGAGATAAAAGCAAGTGCTTGACATGTCCCGTAGGATGGTAGCGGTGAATATGATGCAATTAAAATATGTGTGGGTCATCTATCGAACGTCTGCCGAGATGAATACTTTGATACTTAACATCAGTGTGAAATGAAAAAGAAATATCGCGCGTAAACATTCAGAAAGACACCGGGGCGCAGTGATAGTTAAGGTAAGGATTGAGAAAATAAAATATGGTCGCTCACTTAGGTCCATTTGATACATTAGTCCTGTTGAAAACATGCTTGGCGTGATCCACAACAGAGGAGCTTAGGTAACAAAAAGTTGGGAGCTGAGAGCAACATCTAATCGTTTTTTGAAAACATCCAGGGTAGGAGAGGATACAACTGAGCCTGAGAGTGCTTTCCATGGTTTGCAAACTCGAAGGGAAAAGTAATTCCGTCGACACTCTAGACGGCTATATTGTTCCTTCAACTTTAAGCAGTTACCCCTGAACTGCGTGTTGTGGCTAAGTTTCAGCAAATGGCTGCATACGTGGTTGGGGTCACTCAATATCTGATGCGCTAATATGAGATCGCCGCGCAACCTTCGATAACGTCCGCTGAAAATTTCTAGCAACTTCAGCCTTCGGTGGTAAGAGTGATACCGCAGGCCCATCACGTTCTTTGTTGCTCTCCGTTGTGGTGCCTCTATCGTTTCTAGGTCGCGTTTCAACCAAGGTTGCCAACCTTGGATTGCGTACTCAACTTGCGGGCGCACGTAGGAATTGTACATCATTGGGAAGATTGATGGGTCAAATCTCCCGAATGACCTTCGCAGCATGCCGACGTGCTTGTTGCCTCTTTTGGTAGCTACCTCAGCCTGTTTTGAACAGTTGAGGTCGCTCTGTACGATCACACCAAGATCACATTCCTGGGAGCTATTCTGCAATTCGTTTGTCCCAAGTATTTAGGTGTAGTTATGTCTATGGCGTAATTGTACTACGCGACATTTGTCTACGTTGAACGGTAGAGCGTTTTGAACTGACCAGTTTGACACTGTGTTAAGATCGTGCTGGCGCCGTTCATGGTCATCCGGTCCTCTGGTCCTTCGCCATATCTTGATATCATCAGCGAAAAATAAGAAATCGGAAGTAATTGATCTCGCCAAATCGTTAATGAACACCAAGAATAGACGAGGTCCAAGAACCGAGCCTTGTGGTACTCCACACGCCACGTCGATTGCATGAGAAAATGATTCCAGGACTCTCACCACTAGCCGTCGTTCTTGTAGAAAATTGCTAATCCAACTCAGGATTGGATCGCCAATGCCGTAGTTCGGAAGCTTCTGAAGGAGAACTCGATGGTCTAAACGATCAAACGCTTTTGAAAAGTCTAGGTAGATGACATCGACTCCAACTCCATCATCAACAGCTTCAGTCCAGCTATTACGTGCAATTAATAGGTTGGTATTACACGAATGCTTTTGACGAAAGCCATGTTGCTCTGGGGCTATTAAATTGTGGCTTTCCACATATTGCATCAGCGCGTCTGCGACGATTGATTCCATCACTTTGGATAGTACGGGAAGTAATGCTATTGGACGGTAGTTTGCAGGATCAGTGCGGCTACCTCCTTTATGGATAGGAGTGATGACCCCTTGCTTCCATACTGGTGGAATAAGGTTTTCCTCTAGACATCGCTGATAGAAAACAGCCAGTGGTTCTGCTAGATCACTAGCTACTGTCTGCAGAGCCTTTGGTCGGATGTTATCAGCTCCGGGAGAACTGTGGATACGCAAGGATAACAACGTCTTCAACACAGCCTCCGTAGTGAAGGTGATGTTTTTTAAACCAGATGGTGGAGTATTAGAAATGAGGTGAATGTTTGGGCTCGACACTTGTTGGAACGTTTGAGAGTAATGAAGCCGTAGGAGATCAGCTGCTCCCATTGCTGACCGCGTGTATCCATCAGCCGTGACTAGCGCCGGAACCCCTCGCTTTACCTTTCGAAGTCCGTTAATGTGTCCATACAGGAGTTTGTGGTTAGTGCAGAATCGCTTCATTAACTTCTGCTGATGCGTGACCTTGTCTTCGCGGATCAGTTTCACACAGAAGTTACGATGTGTCACGTATGCAGTCCAGGTTTCGGCATTCGGGCAACCCTGGTGATTTCGCCATGCCAAATCCCTCCGGGACATACATTTACGTGTTCTGCTCCTCAGAAATGACTTACTCTGGTTTTTGGGTTGGAAGGACTTCTGTTCCGATGCTTGCGCTACCAGTGTGCTCAAAGTCCTTGTAAACATATCCCAGGCCAAATCTGGGGGGCATTCGAATAAGAAAGTCCAAGATGTATCCTTAACAAGCTTAGATAACACATTGTAGTGCGTGACCATGTGCACTTTATCCTCCTCCTTTTCCGGGTAATCGGCATAGCATATATAATCAAACAGTAGAGTGACATGATCACTACGACCCAATGGTGTGCTTGTAACTATCCCGCCAACCATGAGTTCTTCGTTAGTTAGCACAAGATCTAGTATCTAGTAGCATAACACCGACAGTTTGAGTACATTGAATAGTGTCCCACTGATCGAAGTGAACAAAGGTTACCACAAAATCAACTTGCGCTGCGAATTGACATTGCAATCCTACGGGGGCTTGTAACATCTGGTAATGAGCAAGATGAGCTTCGCTGGTTGAGTAAGTATCACATGCCACATATTCAAAAAGTTAGGGATCTGGAAGTGGTTAAAGAAAATTCTTCTTTCTGCCAACTCAAAGTAAGGTTAATTTATGGTTTGGTAAGATTTCTATGGCATGTTTGACTTTTATCTAGGTTCAACGTAGTAAGTGAATGGGAAGCCGCATGCTAGTTTTAAGCTAGGTCAGTCGAGCGCTTGCTATTCATTAAACACACTAATTACTATGCCTCTCGAGGGTTACATGCACTTAAAATCGTCAGCTTATTTTTACCTGTATGTCCGTCATGGGAACATCTTTTTGTTGTAGATACTTTGTTGACGTGTAGCTCATCACTTCACCGAAATTCCACTTGAGCCGAACCGGTTCACACATATGACGCATTTTCGCGTAGCTTGCACATGCAGCGGCTGGAAGATTTCGTAGACATCTTGTCTCTATAATCATCGGCTTGAAATGCTCCCGTTGTGCGTCAGACAAAAGTGGATCACTGACTTCCAACTTAACCATAAAATCCAGAATTGTTGGGTTCTCTGCCAGCATAACTGATTCTCTTAAAGGTAGCTCAATGGACACTGTAAGGGAATGTGGCTTGCGGGCGAATAGGTGCACTGGTGCTTGGCGTCGAAACAAGTATGCAACATTCAGCACCAGACAACATATTCCGAGGTTATCTGCATTCGGTTCACTTGGATTAGTCTGATCCGATTTCCTAGTGCGTGTAGATCGCGTTCTACCGGAAACCCTTTGATTGCAGTGCCGGGATGGCTCCCGGCACTCGGGAAGGATCGGGGCTGGCTGATGATCTGAAGGCGTCTGATATACCAACTGTTCTTCATGATTTGGGTTTTCGATGGCTGTTACAATATAAGACATAATACATTAGTGTATTCTTGCAAAAGGTGGTTATTATTTTGAAATGTGTTGCTCGGTATTTGGTTAGTTGCATATTTGTGATCCATAAGAATTCATGAAATAATCGGGAAAAATGTTGTCTAATTTTTACACCCTTATCACTCGCGCCTTTAAAGTGAAGTGCCTGTTTCTAATGGCAATGAGGCTGGCGACCCACCATGCCCCACAAGTGTGTGAATCTCCTCCCGCTGACTTATAGGACTTCATTAAGTAGCGTGTGCAATTATTGCCTGTACGCCATTGTAAGAGGAGTTATTTGAAGACAGACTAGAAGGATAGCCAAAGGGATTAGTGTGAAGGTCGTCAGAGAAACACTTCATGATGGACAGTCGTCCCAAGCTTCACACACCGCGAGTGTTCACTATCTATGGGTTATAGCGGGGCAGAGTAAGGTCATTTACTTGTTTGACCATAGGGAGTTAAAGGAAGGGGAAACATGTAAAAGTATCGCAAAGCCGACGATAGTTGATCGCAGGTTGCTGACACAATGTGTACCATGCCAACGCTACCAATCTACGGAAACACCTCTGAATGATCAGTGCCTTGCATTGGATAACTCTACCGTATATTCAGCTGACTTTCACGGTTTAAATAGTCAGGCCTAATCATGTTAAACACTGTTCACACATACACGCATTTAGAGATTTGGTAAGTCGAGCTAGTGCATTGTTTCCCTAGCAATCTTTTAAAGCATTACACAACAATCCGCGCTGTCCTAATGGCTTGTTCGGGTTAGATTGCGCGACGTGCTTAGAGCTTAATTCACTTTTGCTTCCCTAATTTTTCAGTCTCGTTGTTAAGTCAACTGACTTAAGCTGACGACGTGCAATCCATTTGGACGCTGGTTAACATTGAAGGGACTTTAGCATTTCGCTTGACAGGAAAGCAAACAAAGAATGCTGTATGCTCCAGATGCTGCGCCCGGATCAGCGGTGGAAGCGTTTGTCTGAAACCGCTGTGCCCTGAGTTCCGTCCTTAGCCCTGACTATCCCTACCTGATTAGGCCGAATAAGGGCAGAATCGGCTGTAGGGTGCTGTTTTGAGGACCAGGTTAACTGAAAACATTGTTGTTTCGGACAAGGATTTAATGATGGAGATGACCAGAAGTTAGTTCAGTGAAACTAGTGATCTTGTTGGCTAGAGCCTGGGATAATAGTCGGTAAACATTAACATATAAGAGACTTGTCAAATATGGGACAGTATAGAAGTTGGAGGCGAATGAACTCAACAGGCTACAAAAATAGGAAACGAATCAACCATAGCGAGAACGGTGCAGTAAGGTACTCAGCAAAACGATTTGTGTTCCACGGATGTGCCATCAGTAAAACAAGTGGACGTTTTGAAGGTTAAAACAACCGTAAAGTGCAAGGTTGCAAAGTACTGAAAGAGCGTGTTTTCCGGTACATTGCAATCTAAACTGAGATTGCTTAACGTGTTGCAAACACAGTGGCCCTCAACAGCTGAGAAGCAAATGTTTTCTGCCGTGGGAAGCTTTACTGGTGATGCTTATTGGCCTAGCGGTAAGGTGTAGATAGGAACATTACGTCACTAACCCGATTCACAGCTGCGTACACTCTCCAACTATTTTCAGCTAGTAGCGTAGTGATTGTTGAATGCGATACGGCTGTGGATAACAGCCGGTGCGTACCAGAATGTATTTCTATCTGTGGTCCCAGTGTTTATAGCCCTGTTAGCAGTCAGAAAAAGATTAGAAATTAATTTTGTTCCGCTTAAATACTTTCTATAGACACGTTCTGCCACATACCATACACACAGTGCGCGAAGCGATGTCCAGGCTTGGATTTAGAATAGCAGGTGGCTCACAAAAAATTAAAACGAAGAGTTGGCAATGATCCAAATGTTATTAAAGAACATGGTGCCATGGAAATTGGGTATTGCCCACCCGAAAACACTGTACAGCCACGACGCGTTTCGATGTAATTTCATCTCATCAGGTGGAGACAGCAGGATTTGAACCCACAACCATTGGAATAGCAGCCCACACTACTACCCTTTGGCTACCGGGTCACGATGGGCAACGCTTTTTGTCACAACGGTAAATGACTAATTGTGACAAAAAGCGTTGTCCATCGTGACCCGGTAGCCAAAGGGGTAGTAGTGTGGGCTGCTATTCCAATGGTCGTGGGTTCAAATCCTGCTGTCTCCACCTGATGAGATGAAATTACATCGAAACGCGTCGTGGCTGTACAGTGTTTTCGGGTGGGCAATACCCAATTTCCATGGCACCATGTTCTTTAATAACATTTGGATCATTGCCAACTCTTCGTTTTAATTTTTTGTGAGCCACCTGCTATTCTAAATCCAAGCCTGGACATCGCTTCGCGCACTGTGTGTATGGTATGTGGCAGAACGTGTCTATAGAAAGTATTTAAGCGGAACAAAATTAATTTCTAATCTTTTTCTGACTGCTAACAGGGCTATAAACACTGGGACCACAGATAGAAATACATTCTGGTACGCACCGGCTGTTATCCACAGCCGTATCGCATTCAACAATCACTACGCTACTAGCTGAAAATAGTTGGAGAGTGTACGCAGCTGTGAATCGGGTTAGTGACGTAATGTTCCTATCTACACCTTACCGCTAGGCCAATAAGCATCACCAGTAAAGCTTCCCACGGCAGAAAACATTTGCTTCTCAGCTGTTGAGGGCCACTGTGTTTGCAACACGTTAAGCAATCTCAGTTTAGATTGCAATGTACCGGAAAACACGCTCTTTCAGTACTTTGCAACCTTGCACTTTACGGTTGTTTTAACCTTCAAAACGTCCACTTGTTTTACTGATGGCACATCCGTGGAACACAAATCGTTTTGCTGAGTACCTTACTGCACCGTTCTCGCTATGGTTGATTCGTTTCCTATTTTTGTAGCCTGTTGAGTTCATTCGCCTCCAACTTCTATACTGTCCCATATTTGACAAGTCTCTTATATGTTAATGTTTACCGACTATTATCCCAGGCTCTAGCCAACAAGATCACTAGTTTCACTGAACTAACTTCTGGTCATCTCCATCATTAAATCCTTGTCCGAAACAACAATGTTTTCAGTTAACCTGGTCCTCAAAACAGCACCCTACAGCCGATTCTGCCCTTATTCGGCCTAATCAGGTAGGGATAGTCAGGGCTAAGGACGGAACTCAGGGCACAGCGGTTTCAGACAAACGCTTCCACCGCTGATCCGGGCGCAGCATCTGGAGCATACAGCATTCTTTGTTTGCTTTCCTGTCAAGCGAAATGCTAAAGTCCCTTCAATGTTAACCAGCGTCCAAATGGATTGCACGTCGTCAGCTTAAGTCAGTTGACTTAACAACGAGACTGAAAAATTAGGGAAGCAAAAGTGAATTAAGCTCTAAACACGTCGCGCAATCTAACCCGAACAAGCCATTAGGACAGCGCGGATTGTTGTGTAATGCTTTAAAAGATTGCTAGGGAAACAATGCACTAGCTCGACTTACCAAATCTCTAAATGCGTGTATGTGTGAACAGTGTTTAACATGATTAGGCCTGACTATTTAAACCGTGAAAGTCAGCTGAATATACGGTAGAGTTATCCAATGCAAGGCACTGATCATTCAGAGGTGTTTCCGTAGATTGGTAGCGTTGGCATGGTACACATTTGTGTCAGCAACCTGCGATCAACTATCGTCGGCTTTGCGATACTTTTACATGTTTCCCCTTCCTTTAACTCCCTATGGTCAAACAAGTAAATGACCTTACTCTGCCCCGCTATAACCCATAGATAGTGAACACTCGCGGTGTGTGAAGCTTGGGACGACTGTCCATCATGAAGTGTTTCTCTGACGACCTTCACACTAATCCCTTTGGCTATCCTTCTAGTCTGTCTTCAAATAACTCCTCTTACAATGGCGTAACAATGCAATTAATTGCACACGCTACTTAATGAAGTTCTATAAGTCAGCGGGAGGAGATTCACACACTTGTGGGGCATGGTGGGGTCGCCAGCCTCATGTGCCATTAGAAACAGGCACCTTCACTTTAAAGGCGCGAGTGATATAGGGTGTTAAAATTAGACAACATTTTTCCCGATTATTTCATGAATTCTTATGGATCACAAATATGCAACTAAACCAAATACCGAGCAAACACATTTCAAAATAATAACCACCTTTTGCAAGAATACACTAATGTATTATGTCTTATATTGTAACAGCCATCGAAAACCCAAATCATGAAGAACAGTTGGTATATCAGACGCCTTCAGATCATCAGCCAGCCCCGATCCTTCCCGAGTGCCGGGAGCCATCCCGGCACTGCAATCAAAGGGTTTCCGGTACAACGCGATCTACACGCACTAGGAAATCGGATCAGACTAATCCAAGTGAACCGAATGCAGATAACCTCGGAATATGTTGTCTGGTGCTGAATGTTGCATACTTGTTTCGACGCCAAGCACCAGTGCACCTATTCGCCCGCAAGCCACATTCCCTTACAGTGTCCATTGAGCTACCTTTAAGAGAATCAGTTATGCCTGGCAGAGAACCCAACAATTCTGGATTTTATGGTTAAGTTGGAAGTCAGTGATCCACTTTTGTCTGACGCACAACGGCGAGCATTTCAAGCCGATGATTATAGAGACAAGATGTCTACGAAATCTTCCAGCCGCTGCATGTGTCAAGCTACGCGAAAATGGCGTCATATGTGTGAACCGGTTCGGCTCAAGTGGAATTTCGGTGAAGTGATGAGCTACACGTCAACAAAGTATCTACAACAAAAAGATGTTCCCATGACGGACATACAGGTAAAAATAAGCTGACGATTTTAAGTGCATGTAACCCTCGAGAGGCATAGTAATTAGTGTGTTAAATGAATAGCAAGCGCTCGACTGACCTAGCTTAAAACTAGCATGCGGCTTCCCATTCACTTACTACGTTGAACCTAGATAAAAGTCAAACATGCCATAG